TGTGTGTGTGTGTGTGTGTGTGTGTGTGTGTGTTTGTTACAAAAGTATTTAAAAGAGTCCAAAGACTTAACGAAAACACTGTTTTGCCAAATTCAATATTTTACTCTCTGGCAAAGAGCGTCCAAACATATATCTATTGTACCGGTTCTTACAGCGTTGTCCAAAAAGTTGTGAATTTGGTGTGTGCTGTTAATCACAATGGTTATAGTAATGACAATAAGGAAGTAGCGAATTATCTTCAAAGACGCCACAACTTGTAATTGCCGTGTGCGTGATATAAAATAGCTGATAGCGAGCTTTCAAACCAATGAAAGACGACTAAAATAGAATATTAACAAAATCTGTCGATTCGTACGAAAAATTAGTAACCTGTTTGTTGAAATTGAGAAAGTTGAAGTTTATAGCTAACAAAGTAAACTACAAAGAGGAACACCTATCACTTTACTTCAAATTATGATATCAAAGTCGGTGTTGAAAAGTCGCAGCCGAGAGTACGCTATGTCTCCAATTTGTGTCGTAAATTTACTAAACTGTCAACTTCAACTGCCAATGCTTTATATAGATCTGAAACCTAGTGTAGATAATAAAAAGATTTACAAAGTGACATACCTTAATCATGCTACCATGGTGGCAAAATTTCGGACACACAAGAACTTATTGCACGGAGCAAGACAAATGTGTTAAATGAGGCTTGGATCACTTAAGTAATACCTGCACTAAAAGTAACGATACCTCTGCAAAATGTATTGGTCGTTTACAAAATCTTCCGAACAATAGTCAAGGTTGTTTCATCTATCAGCAGCTTCTCAAAAAGAAAGGACAGAACTCTACTTACAATAACTTTATAATAATTTTTCCATCAATCAACAAGTATTCCCTTTTTTTTAAGAGATCCCTCCCGATTTTACATAATATTTATCTTCATAATTGTCACCACACTGGAACTGGTTGAAGCAACACTTTTTATCAATAGGATGATGCTCCTAGTCTCTCAGCGATACACATAAGCTTCCGTATGCCAATGGGCTTTCAATCGTCTCCATGAAGCAGAAATTTTCCTCTATCAAAATTTTATTGATATTCTTCTTATATTATCGTTGAACATAACATCATCCGTCATTCATGAAACTTATAATGCGACTTTTAGAAGCCGGATCGATCACGCTTGAGACCATAATTTGAATTTGCATGGGTCTTATAAAATTGATGATGCGGTAGAAGATTTTACAAGTCTTATTCATCGAGCTGGTTTTACATCTACTCCCAGAAATTTTGATGAGCCTAGATACTGTAATAAATGCGTTGACCTTGAAATAAGGCAAATGATTAGAAACAAGGGAAAGATGTGAAGAATTCAATGGCAAAACAGTAGATAAAAGTATTTGAATAGAGCGACGAATAATCTGCGCGTAAAATGAATGAACCAAACAACAAGTTTTTAACCTGAAAGCGACTTTTCAGCCTAATAACTTTTTTGGGACTTCAAATACAGAAGATATACGTTAAAATCTTTCGTTAGTCCATGCCCCATGGATAGGCCTCTCAGCGATACCTACATTAGCTGCTGAAGCCAAAGAAGAGATGAGCAAAATTTAACCCCAAGAAATTCTCTGATTGTGATTGCGTAATTGAAATGACTAATAAATCCTTACCACCTAAGGCACTCGTCTTTTTAACATTCACTTTTAAGAATATCTTAACACAGAATCACTTTCCAACTCAATGAAATTTGCACAAAAATAATTATGGTGGCCTTTATCTATCGTCTAACCGATCTTTTATACAATATTTCTGCTAAGGAAGAAAACCAGGGCTAGACTAAAAATTGGAAACGCAAGAATTGTGTGTGTGTGTGTGTGTGTGTGTGTGTGTGATTTTTATTGATTTTGTTAGTTAAACGACCAAAAGTTATGCTAGTTGAAAAATGAATGATGCGTGTGTATGCGTGTTTACAGCATCTACTACATGTACGCTGTATGTAGGTATGTAAGCGGGAAACAGACAACTTCTAACTATATTAATTTGATCTAAAGTTGAAAAGCTTGACACTTAACATTAACGTTGTATTCATGTGATCAAACGCAACCATAGGCCCATTCGAATGAGCAACAATTTCGCATATAATAAGTCAGGAAATGTTGCAGTTTGCTGGTTAGTTTTCCTAAAATATTTGGGAAAATCTATCTGCAAAGACTATTCCCAGTTCTCGAGAAAAGATTTATTATTTTCGACCAGCTGATCAGTTTGAGGAATACCCCTGGTATCATTGAGCAATATCATCGCTTTGTTTCATACGTCAAGGAAGCGATTGAAGATGTGGAGAAGAGTCTCGATAAAATCTGGGATGATGAACAACTTTCAAACATTTTAAAAGTTCTTCCTTTCAACTCTTATGTATTATATTTGCTGCTTAAGACCTATTTGCAAAACTGTCATTTCCATTGTAAACTTGAAAATCATAAATCCAATCCATATAAAATAGAAGGCGATGGATCCAGCTTCTAACTGTTCTAAGTCCAATTCTCTATATAATTGTCACTTTGAATTCTTCTATCACTGAGAATATTTTAACTGCGACATGTGCAGCATGTTCATCTCAGCAAAATTTTGCTTTGACTTTGATCAAATGGAATATGAAAAAAAAATGCTGAAAAATCTATGCAGATTGCATTTACGCTAAATAAGTCTAAGTATACTTGTCGTTCACACTTTTTGACTGACAATATTATCTCTATCCCTATTAAAAACAATGTAAAATATTTTGGCTTACATATTAACCAAAGATTAAAATCGAAAAAAAAAAAATGTCGATTAAGTGAAACGCCAGCAACTTGACTTAAAAACCAAAGAACTCTGGTTAGTTCTCTGGATTATTTCGTCCAGAATCTCAACTTGATGTAAGAAATAAATGCATTTCATACAAGAGGATCCTTCAAACTACTTGGACCTACGGCTTACAGCTACGGGAAGTTACAGGCAGCGATTCCAATTGTGGTTGAAATCTATGTCTTATGGCTAATGCCCTGCAATTCGCTAGCAGCTCGCAATTTCATTCATCAAAAGTCGAATTCAACCGATTCAACCGCAAACTGTCTTGTTAAACCGAATGATCATGTAAATCCATTGGCAACATCTTTTCTGGATAAATTCAATGAATAAATAAATAGCTTTAAAAAAGCATCACATACTGGATTTCCTATACAGAGATTACTTAGTTAATTTTTGTTCCTTAAATTATTTTAATGAATTTTCCAAATTTACACAGATAAATTCTTTTTATTTATTTACGATTATGTTGCTTACATTGGATGACAATTTCATTTATCTCGATCATCAATCTCCTATTGCTATTACGTTTACTCATTATCTTTTCGGATAGATTGTAGACCAAATATAGACTTAAAAGAAAGTACAATTTAATAAATCTATAGATTAAGTAAGCCCTTGTCATATTATATCATTTCTAGCCAAATCTATTTGGAAAACTCAGTGAACATTTGTCGAGTTTGAGCTACGAAATCAATTTTACCAATACTTTTTTCGTTTTTATTCTTCTAACTAGTTGAGCAGTAGTAAAACTACACGATCGATATAAACCTTTTGGCAAATAATAATTAAAAACTCAACAAAAATCGGTAAAGGGAAATTAGATTGTTCCGAATTTAAACTGATCGTCGACGTCTATAAAATATGTAGGTATTTCCCCTCGACCTTTTACATCAATCAAGCCGCGGTATGTGCAACTGACATTATAGTCACGTAAGATTTCCGCAGTCTCTTCGGTAACTTGAATGTAGCCCGGTTCACCGGTAGTGTCCATTCGCGCGGCCATATTTACAGCATTACCCCAAATATCATAATGCGCCTGAGAGGATCCAACCACTCCAGCCATAACTTCACCAGAACTAATGCCTAATTGCAAATGAATTATCGGTAATAAATTAACACAACTCGCTATACAAATCGATGACAAAAGAACAATTACCGATTCGAAGTTCAAGCGGCGGAGTGCCCCGGCTACGGGATTCCTGAATTACGCTATTAATCGATCGTATAACTTTCAGAAATTCGACTGCGAAATTTGCTAAAACATAGACCACTCCCTTCTTATTTCGCATAAATCGCATATTCATTCTGTCAGATTCATCCTCAGAAGAAATAGAAGAAGAAGAAGAATTAGAGGAAGAGAGTAAGGGAGAAGGGAATTGTTCATTTGTTTCCACATTATTGCCTTCAGGCTTATCAATAACAAATGCGAAGATGTGGCTTGATCGTTTTCTTATTGTTCTTCGACTCTCTTTTTCATGCGGTGTAAATGGTGATCTATCCCGTTTTAAACTTTGCGGTAAATAACCACGTCTAGAACCTAAACCGCACGCAACCATATAAGTCCAATTGATAACTTTGATTTTTTCCACTTTCTCCGAAAACTTGTAAAATTTTAACTGTATGTAGAAAAAATATCGAATTATAAGGATAATGCGATATAAATATAAGATAAGAAATATAGGGGATTGGCTTACAACTTCATCAAAATCGCACATAATTTCATTCATTAAACGCAAATCCATTAGATGCGCCTCCTCATGAATAACAGTTGCGAACATTACCGCTACGTATTCATGCTTCTCGTAGTAGGGTTCATTTTTTAAACGTTTCGTTAAATACACTTGAACTTTTTTTAAGTGAGACAAAAAACGAGAGAATAGCGATTAGCGACAATATATATTTTTCATTTTGTTTGAAAATGCAGCTCGACTTACCCACATGTGCGGGAAGTATATTAAGTAGCAATGCGCGGATCGATTCGTTTGTAATACTGGAACTATCAATTCTCCGCTGCAATTGCCTCTCATTACTACATATATTTATATGTGTGCGTACGTGTATGTGTGTGTGTGTGTGTGCGTTTAATTATTTTAATGCGTCTCTCTCCATTTTTAATACTTACAAATAATTCAATTTCGATATAAATATTAGATGACGACTGATAAGCATATATAGAAACCAAATTATTAATAGAACCCAGACATGCGCGAGTTCAGCAGATGTGGTAATGTTTGTCGACACACTGGATTCGTAGTTCAAAGACAAATGCGTATAAATCCCAATACTATAGATTATTAGCAAAGGTACTGTCATTAAGAATGATAAAGTGATTGGTATGAGAGGCCAAGTAAACGCCAAAGCCACATATAAGCATAAGGATTCAGTGACAGCCTAAAGAGAATTCACACAAAAATAATATAAGAATCGAATAAAAAAAAAAAAAGAACGGCATTAACGTCGTCTTGACTTATTTGATTGATCTTTTACCCATGAATTGAAGCACAACTTCCGTATGCCTTCTTCCAATAATAGAAATATAACCTTATCATCGTTTGCCAACATATCGCTGTCGCACGTTATCTATTAAGCCGTATCGAATATGTAAAAGACATAGATGGCATTTTCATTAGTTATCTCGTTTGTTAAATGCTTACCACTTGAACGTAGGACGTTATTAAAATTGTTGACATACACCCTACGAATAATGCGCAACCTAAAATTAGTTTTTTGGTCATCGAAAGCTTACGTACCGTACGTAATTTAAATGGCGCTCGTCGTATATATTTTCGAATTGGACGCCATCGAAAAATTCGACGGATAAGATATTTACGCCATATGAATACAATAACCGCAATATTGCACAAAATCATAAGACTGCATATAATCCAAAATTCGACTGTATTTTGAATTCTAAATAAAATAAAAAAATATTTTTAATTCAAATCAGATAAGTTAAAAGTATTTATGCGATTATAATTAGTGTAAATGTGTATATGATGAACTTTTTATTCTGAAATACAGATATATATCACGGGATGGTTTTTAATTTAATTTAGATGCGTCCGCCACACTAACGTTCGTTAATCGTTCACTCGTCGTTGCAATTGTCTTATCACTTAAATTAATCTAGAAATGTGAAACGCGCTCTATGCACTGCTGAGCTCATTCAGGAAATATATAAGAAAAATATAAGTTACTGCTAATATGTCCAAATAGGGGCATTTTGAATATTTCGTAAACCTCTAACAATTTGATGTTCACATCAAATTTTTGAATCAACATCTATAAGCATCTTCAAAATTTTATTATGCACTGTTTCGAAATTAAAACCCCATTGGCGAAGAAAACTTCTGCCAATCGATATCCCCGTCACTTTTAGGTTCGACTACAAACTTCCGTCTAAGGTTTTGCGACAATTTACTTAAATTTCGAATTTCGAATTTCGCACACAGACGCATCTAAATAGACTTCCTTTCTTTATTATAGAACGAGATATACGATCCATACTTACTGTTCCTTTGTAGCTTGCATAGCGACTACGCAAAGTAATACTGGAAAAGTCACCAAAGCGTAATGTTTGAAGAATTCCGTTCTATATGTAAGATATTTAAATTCCCAGCTCCAATTGCCAAATAATAAGCCAATGCTGCTAATATTACTTTCGGCCCGATATTCCTCAATTTGATCGGCGGTTAAATGTCGCGGTCGTTCAAAGCAGTACCGATAAAATCTGATTATTAATAAAAAAAAAAATAAATAAAAAAAATCGTAGTTTAACAAACGATACGCAACAATAACATAGAACACTGTGAGGCATTGGTCTGATTTGTGTTTGCATTGCGCGAGCAAGGTTTCGACAATAACAAAACAGCAATTGTTATTGTCATTGTAATCATACTTCATATCGAATTTTGGAATCGCACTCACGTCGGCTTTTTTTTGTTCGTATGCAAAATACGAGAAACGCACGTGCAAGCACAGATCAGTTCATGTGAAGATTCAGAAAACTGTAAATAATTTTGTTTATTTGTATAAATTTTTTGTTCATCTTTACGACCTCTTTTCTTTTTGGATATGGGGTACTAGTATTTTTATTACTATTAATTTAGCCAGAGAAGTACGATTTTAAGACTAAATTCTTAAAGCACTAACATCTATCGGTTATCGGCTTTTAGTGAAAACTCATTCTACCGCATTTGGGATTTGAGCCCACGACCATTGAGTTGTTAGTCGCGATTCTTTGCCTGTTCGGCCATTCAGCCGGGCATGGACTAAGCCCATTGAGATATATATGTATGTATGGCTTATATTTACAGATTGATGATAATTTTTTCTTGTTGTTCTATTGCTAAAATTCACTTGCAATTGCAAGGCTTCCTATTATAATGTTCACAATGTTCGTTTGCCTGCACCTAATCGCATTTACACATATACACTTACTGCAGTTTGCAAATCGGTAAGCTTCCCACTTCAATTTCCATTAATTCGTTAGCTTTTTCCACAATCTCTTGATAAACCATCTGCTTGGGTTCGTTCGGGGTTATTTCAATATCAATACTGGGAGTAGTTTCTTCCGCCTCCTTTTTACTTTCTAAGTAATTTTGCCATTCAATCGAGGTATTCATTTTGATCTTTAAATCGGGAAATGGGTTTTTATTCAATTTGCGTTTCGTTTGCGAAATATGATTGTCTTGTGTCTTGTTTTTACACTTACACTCGGTTCAATTATTAGAAAAGTTTTTATCTTGTATTTCAATAATATTGGATGCGTTTTAGCCTGTTCGGTACCCTCTTCGTAAATGTAAAAATCTTCAGTTAAATTCAGCGTTGCCTTACTTATGTGGACACGTCCCGGTATACCAGTCGTTTCGAGACAATTTGCAATGTTAACATCCGTGGACCAAACATCATATTGCCATTTTGATGATCCAATAATACCCGCTAGTAAACTGCCTGAATGTATGCCGATACGCATATCAACATCCAGATTTCTGACGGTTCTTTAAAAAAAATGTTTAAATAATTGATTAAAAAAAATGTCCTCAAAATGGAGCGGAACGTTCCTTTTAGTTACGAACCTAACTTCACGAACATGTGCTACAATAGCACGTCCCAGTTCAATACAGCAAACACCATGCAATGGATGTGAGACGGGTATACCAGACACGGCATAGTAACAATCACCCAAAAATTTAATACGCATTACATTAAAGTCCTGTTTAAGCAATAGGTATTACCGTTATGATAGTACATTAAAGTGCAAGCACTTACTTGACACGCCTTGTCAAATCTTTGAAATAGATCATGTAACGTTTCCACTAGGGTCTTGACGTCCAATTTCGTTGTCAAGAACGTGAAATTAACTAAATCGGCAAAGATAATACTTACATCTTCATGAGGCTCGACAAAAAAAGTTCTCAAAAATTGGATAAAAATAGTACAGTATAAGATAAGATAATTTATCCAACGGATTTCTTCAATTTAAATACCTTCCTTCATACAACCCTTGCTGACCGACCTTCGATCTTTCAATGCGATTTCTAACTTCTTGTCCAATTTTTTTTGCTATCGGTTCTGGTATAATGCTTACTAAAAGATTTTTCTACAAAAAGTAAAAGGAGAAATTTTTAAATCGTTTCATTTTTGCGATAACTCTAAACCGCTTACCTCTTGATCTTTTGCGTATTTGAAAGCTACTGCTTGCTCCACACTTTGACGTTTAGTAAGAAATAGAAGACGTGTTATAATTTCACGTCTCCAACGACAAGTTACGCCAATTATATTTAAACCAATAAGGAAGAAAATTTCGGGTGTAACCATTGTGACATCTGACAAATTAATGGTTGCATTCTTTGCAGTTATTAACAGAAAATCGGCCCCGTATATTAAGCTGATCACACAACTCAAAATGATTGGATGATAAAATCCAGGTAGAGGCAAAAATAAATATATTGTCGATATAACGTAAGCTGCATAGGAGGGACGTACGATATACGCCTGACTTATATAATATAGATTCAGTGAAATATCTATAAATGCAGAAGAAGGATTTTGAGTAGAAGCTTTGTATAATATGCGTACGCATACCACAAAATGCTATTATTAAAGCGGTCGTCCAAGATACAATAAGTTTAATCAGTTGCCTCGTGTACGCTTGTTTCGCGTAGATACGAAGAATTGCGCATATTATTCCAGCCCCAATTAAATACATGTAAATTTCATAGGGGAAATACTCTTCCTTCGAATTCAGAATTTTCGTTAACATAAACTTACTTAGGTGTGAATAATTCATTTACTAACCTGATGAACGTTATATAATGTGATCGAATGAATCAGTGTAATAATTATATGGATTATGGTAAAGGTGTTTAAATAATTATTATATATTCTGGCCAGATAATTTTGATAGACTTCTTCTAAGCCCATATCCACACATTCTCCCTGTGAAAACAATTGCTGTTGAGTCAATTAAAAGGCAAACTCTCCCCCTTTTACCTTCAGGTTAGCGTAGTTACCAGAAATTCGAAAGATATCATCCATCGTTAAGATTTCCTATAAATATTCTGCAGATTTTAAATGGACGTCTTGTTTATTTGTTTATATATTTTCGGTTCTTTTTTTTTTTTTCTTGGCGTCTCCAAAATTAAAATTATAAAATATGTCAAATTTTAAAAGACATTGAACAAATCACAATCCAGTTGTGCTTCTATTAGCAGTTTCAAATTTGAAAATCTCGAAATCAAGCATAAAAAAATTACAAATCTTCACTGAGTGAAGTCGCTCAAGCGAAATATCAAAACATGAAAACAAAAAATTCGAGATAAATAAAAAATAATAAATGCGACACCCACACATGCAGAGGATACTATGTTATGTCTGCCCATCAAAAAAAAAAAAAAAAGAAAAGACAAAAAAAAAAGAGGAAGAGGAAAAGGAAGAGGAAGAGGAAGGGGAAGAAAAAACGAAAGAACATTGCCCCAATTAAAATAAACATAGTCTCCATGAGAGGCGTATGGGTATGAAGAACGCAACATCATCTATGGATTCTACTCGTTTATTATTTGGATAAACGCGTATAGTATCCGTTTATACAATACTGATAGACATTTCAATTTGAGTTTAGACCGACGCATAGATGAATGTGCAAAGAGATTGTACGAAAGCTTCCCGTTATATTAACGGAACATTTATTTAACCTTTTAATCATTGCGACAAATCACGATCATTTTCTTTCATTTGCGAAACATATGAAAGTGAAAGTTTTCCATCTAAAATCTGTGAAAGCCAGTTGAAGGTGAGAAGGAGCGGGGTAATCTTGGCTCCCCGGCAGTCAGCATCTCATCACGATTTCGTAATATAGGTAAAGACCACAAGGTTATTACAAGCGGATTAAGCGAATTAAGCGGATTAAGCATATCAATATACGTTGATTCTTTCGAGAATTGGTTATATACGACATCGCTTTAGCCAGAGTATCGAGCCTTTCTATTTCGTATTTATAAGAAAGTAATTGCTTCTATATAAAAAGATACGACTGACCAATATCGGAGAAGGATGAATACTTTTTTACAACTGCTATGATTATGATATGTAATTATAATTGACAGACAAGTGACAACAGCTTTTCGTATCTATAATAACAATATTTGTTACAAAACTTATTCAGTTAGAGATATCAATTTTATAAGTAAAAGAATCAAGTCTTAGAAGTAAATTACGTAGTAAAATGAAATATGTACATAAATAAATGTTAAACAATTATATATATTTTATGCATTCGGTTCTCTGGTGTTTATTTTTGAATCGGGTATAAAATTTAGATTCTCATCTATACCCACAAAGTATGTGGGTATCTCACCACGACCTTTAACATAGGTCAGGCCACGAAAATTGCATTGTATATTGAATGTCCGTAATATTTGGGCAGTTTCTTCGGTAACCTGAATATGGCCGGGCAAACCGGTCGAATCCATCCGAGAGGCCATATTTACAGCGTTACCCCAGATATCGTAATGAGGCTTAGACGAGCCAACTACGCCGGCCATTATTTCACCGTTACTTATGCCTACAATGGAGACATTCAAGATTATTAAAAAAAAAAAAAGGATAGATTGTAATGTTGTTAAAATACTAACCTACGCGTAACATGCCATGGTCAGAATTACCATCTTCACATTGCAGATTCTCCATATTGAAAGAGTGTATAGTGCGCATGAGTTCCAAAGCGAATTGTGCCATCACAAAAACGACATTGCTTTGCTGAGGGCTACTGATCTTACGATTTTTAGCGTTCCTGCTAATATTTGAATGACCTTCGTATTGACTAGAAGAACGCTTAACATTGGTTCCCGATTTCGCCGAAGATTCCACTTTTATATTGACCTCTTGAGATGAACGATTCGCTAAATGGTTTTATGAAGAACTCTTCTCAACTTAAATGCGATATCGGATTTGCAAGCGATCACAAACAACTTACAATTGCTGCTATTATAATGGGATCTACGTCCGTTTGGCAATAACGATGAATTACGGAATGTATTCTGAGTATTAACATGTTCCGAACGAGCTAAATCTAAACCGCACGCCGCCATATAAGTCCATCCTGCCACTTTAATTTTTTCAATCTTAAACGCCCCTTCCGATTCGAAATGTTTCAACTGCAAATTTTATCATAGATTAAATCATTGCAACCAAGCCTATTTTATGTAATACTTACCACGTCGTCAAAATCGCATATGATTTCATTTAGGACTCGTAAGCCAACGTTTTCGGTATCATAGTTCTCAATCGAGGCAAACATTACCGCCACGTTATCATATTCCTCATAATACAATTCATTCTTCATTTCCCTGGATATATAAATATCCGCTGAAATTTTCATGGCTTATATTATCGAGGCTTAAGTGATGCTGATATTATTTCAAAATATAAAACAAATTAAATTCGACACTTACCTACATGCGATGGCAGAATGTTATTAATCAACACTGATATTGATTCGTTGGTTACCTCGGCATCTTCCTGCTTTTTTTGCAATTGACGTTTCCAACTAATTGACGAATATAATTGAGAAGGAATCTAAATGAATTCAGCATCATATCAATATCATATACTGACTTACTTATAATCGACTCTTGATATAAATTCGGTTTGGCGATCCATTAAATGGAAAATGAAAAATGTTATAACAATCACCAAGACATGCGAATATTCGGCTTGCAATTGCACGTTAGACGAAGGACTAGACTCGTAAATTAATGCGTATTTAACAAATATAATCACTATATAAATAGACGATATTAAAAGACCAATAACAAGTTTCACCACAAACGGTATACGCGAGAAGAGAAAGACGACGCATATGGTTAATTCTAAACTGTCGGTGATACCCTAGAATTCAAGTATTTAATTTAAAAAAAAAATTGAGATAATACTTGTTAAAGCTTACCTACCCAAGGATTGAATCCTTCTTCACATATTCGATCCTTAGAAAATGCCTGCGAGCTTAAACTACCATTACTGTCATTATCGGAACCATAAACGGGCCAATTATTGCAGTCTAACTGAAAATAAAGCATACTTCGATTGATGCACGCTCGACAACTCCTCTTAACTCACATACCAATTGCATAAATGTCGCGGAACAGCAAATGATTATAATTAGAATATATATGCTGAGCCGTGCTATTATGCTGCTTTGTAAACTTTTCGAAGTCTCGTAGAGAAATAATAAAATTTTATTATCGGGATCAGTTTTGTCAGCTTCAGCGAAGAACATAAGCCATAGCTTTTTAAACCATGACAAAAATATACAAACAATTATTAAAACAATGTAAAACGCATTCGAGGCCCAAAAATTTGTGGATTGACTGCAAAAAAAAATTATCAATTATTGAATACATGAAAGAAAAGATATACGAAAAAGGACAAATTTTATTCGCTTTTGTTCGAATCTTAAGCGTGGGCCTTGATCAACTTTCCCTGCCTACTCCTTCACATAAATATCTTGCAAAAGCAAATAATATCAAACGGATAGAATGAAAATGGATTCATTTACTACTGTCAAGTATATACACCTTTTACTCCACTATTCATAGTGTGACTCTTTCTCTTTTTTATTACATATTCACTTACATCTTATTAATCGATTGTATTGCCATTATACCCAAAAATATGATGACGCCCATAATCACACTGTACTTAAGCATATCGTCTGGTTCACGTAGAAATTGCATTTCCCATCGCCAATCTTTGAAAAACAAGCACATCGATGTTATATTCCGGCGAAAATTTTGTTCTTCCATTTCATCTTGAGTTAAACGCTTCGATCGACCAAAACAAAATTTCCAAAGTCTAAAGAAAATTCTTATAAAATATCGGGACTCTTATCGTATTTGATATTTTTTGTGCAATTTACTGAATTCGACTGATGGGCATCTTATCTAGCTCACGACTCATTTCCAATTTAGCTTGTGTGCGTATCTGATTAAATTGTTCGATATTGTTTTGCATAAAGTTTGTAGATAATTCGGGTTTTAAACGTTGCTCTATCTGACGACGTATTGCTGACCAAGGTCGTCTTAATTCGTTGTACGAGGAATACTATAAATAGAAGAAACCTTGAAATTTATTTACTTCCTTTATATACGTATACATATATATATATATATATATATATTCCGTTTCTACGCCACGGTCACTAAAAAATATTAACATTTCTATTATTATATCTGTTATGAGTGACTAGGATGAAAACTTTATTGGCTTTTAAGCAAAAACCCTACATATCTCTCTCTACTTCTCTTTCTCTTCCTCACTTTTGTTCTTAAATTGAAGAATTTTGAGATCACACAGAGTATTTATATGACATGAGAGAGAGAAAAATATTTTCAAGTCATGATTTAGTTTGGCGCCTGGTCGATTTATCCGTCAGAGGCGGGGTTTTATTTTCAATTTATTAACTACATTATATAAATGTCTATATTTTTACGATATACTCAGCTTAGATTTGACTCAAACTTCAATAAAATTTCTTGCATTGTACATTCCACATGTTACGTTAAGGCTGACAAATTCCACAGAATCACAGGTCGTCAGAAAAATAGGTGCAAAATGAATTTTTCAGTTCTATGCAAAAAAAATTGTAAAACACGCACAACCTTTTTACTATCCCACGTAATTATGTTCTTTCAGTAAGAAATAGAAAGCTTTTATTTTGACTTAATGGCTTTTTCACCCGCAGATCGAAATAAATTCGTGAAGATTAAAGTGTGTTATAATATTTTGCGGTAAAAGCGGATTGTAACGGTAAATCGTGTTTATTAAAAAGATAATACATTCGTTTTTATAATAATATTAGATGGATCGAGCATGGAGTCAGGGAAAAATGTGAGAATTTATTAACGCATCGCTAGATGGGTCACAAAACTTCCTGACTTCCTGGATGCTTTAAACCCCCCTAAAAAATATATTGTTAGATGCAAAGCAATTGAGAAAACTTCTCCCGGTCCCAAAAATCGCGTCATAATTTTAGGAAAATGTGATTCGTTCAAGGTGTGTAGAGGAATTTTTAATAAAATTAGGAATGTTCTATCATTCGGAACTGATCGTCGAAGTCAATCTACCAGAAATTTCTTTTGCTCAGAAAAGTCAATTTGAAGAGGGGGAAAGGGTTTGTTCTAGCCCGTGCGGACTAGAAGGCGGAAAAAGGTGGCGAAATATACTTTGAGGCGACGAAACAAAATAAATTTGCTGGTGGGTGGCGCGAAAGAAAATGTACGTCGATCAAAAGGGAAAGAACTCCATATTGGATTTATTTAAAAGAAAAAAAAAGAAGAAATCATGGCGCAGGAAATCTTATGATATGGAGTTGCTTTCTAGATTCGATACGTCTCATGGAAAACACTCTGGATGGATTTGGAGCACACTGTAATGCTATCATATGCCGACGAAAATATGCCACTGGATAACTTGGGTGTCATCGAATGGCCAAGTCAGTTGCCCGACGTCAGCCCTGTTGAGAACCTAACACGGTTGCGATGAGGCAGGAGTAAGACACGCACACGAATGTAACGGAATGTGACGGAACTGAAACTATTTTATTGACAATACAACGGGTTACGACTGTTCCAGGCGCTTCCGTTAAGGCGCGGTGAGGGCATCGAAGATACAGTAAGAGTCTAACTTTTAAGGAAACCTACTACCAATAAGAATATGTAGAAAATAAAATAAAGCCTGTTTTTTAAATAATTATCAAACATATATCGCGAAACTACTAACGTCGCCAAGTGTTCTTAGCGAATGACAACATTGTGTTAGCGTGTAACCCAACAGTGTTGTAATGGGACTTTTTTTGTATATTTAAATTTCAAATGATTCTCAAGAGAAAAAGATGAGAAAAGAGATCGACTGTTCGAGCAGCCTTTCTGAAAATCAAAACTTCTCAGGATTATTTGATCAAACTATACCTGTAGATATGAACGAAACGCATATCACAATATTTTAAAAATGTTTTCATTCGATGGATACGAAAAAATGCGGTTCAGAACAAAAATAACTTTTTTCTTCTTATTTCTCGGTATTGCAAACAAAGTTGCAAAGTAATTATTGGATATTAAGTCCGCATATATAGCCTAACAGATAAGAATCGCGACTAGTATTCAAATCTCGAGCTACGTAAGCTGTAGTGAATTCTCAGACGGTGAAGGCATTGGACACACCTTTACTACACTGCGGTCGCACCCTCGCTATCTCTTCTTTCTGACCATCACCGTTTTACACGAATCGGTGACACTCCCAGAGTGATTTCGTGGTCGTTTAAAAGAAAAAAAAAAAAAGGTACTAAGAACAAATTACTTACGGATATAAGCAAGGAATAGGAGACTTTATCTCTACTAATTTGCTCTATTGGGCACGTCTGTGGCAGAATATGTCATAGCTTGTTCAATTTAATCTACTAAGCAGAGATATTTTTGTTACAGATTGACTTCTTTGCAGAAGAAGTGAAAAGTTTACAATTGCTGACTAGCAAAGCTATCACGCTCTCTCTGAGATTTCAAAGCACTGCTAAGACAAAATCGTGGCGCATATGCAGATGCCAAACATACTACTCAAATCGAATGTAATATCTTTCTTTTCAGTTACCTTGGGCGGTTTAATTAAAAATGATCTTATGCCAAATTTTTTGAGTACCGGATCGGTACGAGCTTGGGGAGTACCTTCCTCATACATGTACTCGCCATCCAATTGCTTTAAGGTTTCTTCGCTAACGTGCACCCGTCCCGCTATTCCAGTCTGTTCCAAACGATTAGCAATATCGACATCTTTCGACCATATATCGTATTGCCATTTACAGGCCCCAATTACCCCGGATAGAATACTACCAGAATGCACGCCGATACGCATATCGATGTTTAATTTACGACGTGTTCTAGAGTTGAAAGAAAAAAAGAAATATATATATATATATGAAAATATAACGAGTTACTCGCAAAGTTGTTTTATTATAGTTTAAATACCTTACATCACGTATATCTTTAATCATACGTAAACCCAAGTCCACACAGCATTTGGCATGATACTCATTAGGTAGTGGAACTCCTGCCACGCAATAATAACAATCGCCTAGAAATTTGATGCGCAACACATTGTATTCCTAGAAAAAGAAATTGTTTCAATAGAGTAAAAGAATCGATGCCCTATGGCTTTTGGATTAACCTCAGAGGCCGTGTCGAATTTCACAAAGAGATCATGCAAAGTTTCTACCAAGGTTTTCACATCTAAGGTTGTTGTCAAATAGGTGTAGTTGACAACGTCTGCATAAAGTATCGTAACATCATCGTGGGGTTCAATGAAAAGTTTTCTAAATAAAAAATAAAATAACTAACGAGATGCGGTCGTTAATTGTTTATATAATAGTACTTACTCGGTGTCAGGTTGACGCCAGTATTTCAAAATCGTTGGACTATGTCTATGCATTTTACAAATACAAAAATTAATGATATTTTAAGAAATAATTTTGAGTTTTTCAGTAAAAACCTACACTCTATTCGAATTGGCCTCTATTTTCGCATCATTATTACTTTGCGAGATGAGACGTTGCTTTCTAGCTCGTATATGTTCGACGCGAGCCTTGACATCCTGTTCGATCTTATTAGCTATCTGAGCTGGTATTATGCTTAGCCATAAACTTTTCTAAGACATAAGAACTAAAATTTAAAATATGCAAATTTTTTTTTGTTTTCTTTAAAAAGTAAACCCACCTCTTCATCTCGGGCGTAACGTAGCATTAAATTCTCCTCGACATATTGCCGTCGATCTAGGAATGTTGTACGTATTGCTATCTCTTTCATCATACGAAAATGTATACCCAATAGATTTATCGAGATTAAAAATATCGTTTCAGTTATTAGTTTTATGAAGTCTAACCCGCCGGATCCATTAGCATGTTTGCGATACGTAACGAATGCATAATCGATGAGATAAGACAATGTCACAGAGGTACCCAACAGAGATGCATGCGCATTATCAGGTAAGGGCATAAATATGTATACAGCATATAAAATATAGCTACCGAACGCTGGTCTCAATAAATCAAGATTTATGACAGCATGATATACGGAAACCCCGATATCGGTACCTGCCAGCAGCGCTACAGCCAACCACGATGTTACGTACATAATCCAACTGAAACGTTTCACCAATTCATTACGAAAATTTAAAGCCAATATCGCCCAAACCAATAGAGCCGATATAATATAAGCAAAAATGTCCGCTGACACATTTTCAAGATTCTATAAATTCCCTCAGCTGTTAAAAACAATGAACAATGTACAGTCATTATAACTTACGGGTATGGTAGCGAGCAAGATTACAGAATGAACACCTACTACTAACAGCTCGATAAAGATGAATAACGATAGATAACTCACGCGCAAACGTTGCATGTAAGATTGATAGAATTGCTCCAATTCTAAATTGCGACACTGATTCTGAAAAAGAAGAAGAATTATAAAAAAATTTATGTGTCTAGCATAAGAATAGATCTGCTTAAATCTCTAATGGCAAATGGTAAATATCGAAGGCAAAGTTAGGCCTTGTATCAGGGTACGGAAGTTCATTAAAATAGAAAGAAACAAGTACGGGCCACTACCTGCATTGCCTTGTTTTTAGAAATAATAAAGTTTGAATTGAGACGCACATGCAGAGTCCAACCGCAGTGTCGCAAAGCGTTCTATGGTTTAAATCGATGTTTTTTTTTTTGTTTTTCTTTTTCTGCAAGTGCAAGTGTGCTTGTTCGTACCACACATTTTCATTTGAACGCACTATCGATTTTTGGTCAAGTACTAAGTTTTAAGTATTGCAATACTGATCCCTTTGCCAGTCTACGAAATAAAGATAGCTTTCGCCCCAAGTTCAACCATTTTGAAACAAATTTTCGTTCGATCGCATTTCATGCTCAAAAAAATGTAGTGGGAGTTAATGACATCATTAACCATACACGTAATATCGACTCGGCGATTGTCTAGTGCTTGTCCACCCGGGTTGTTGTTACGCCCTGAAAAAAAATTATATCCAACCAGAAAAGGGGTTTTTACTAACTAACACCATCCCGCCTATGTACATTTGACTGCAATAGATGTCAGTTAATATATACTAAGATTGAATATTTAGAATCCGCCATAAACGAATCTAATCTTTTCTCACTTTTTAAGGTCAGAGCATATGGCGGTAATCAGCTGAGACAATTGCCGTTTAAATGACAGTTATGATTTTCATACATATATATGTATTAAATTTTGCATCGATTCAGATCGTATAAAGGACTTTTGAACATTTTCGAAATCGCTTCAAAGCTTTATCTGTAAAATTTACCTGTCAACTAATCACACGACAAGGAATGAAGAAATTGAACAATACCTTAATTATAAGGCATTTCCATAGCCGTGTCCATTATTCCTTTGTTTCTTCTAAGGATTTCAAACTCAAACCCACGAATTTCTCATGCCATTATGCAATGGCATTAGCTATGGGAATTATGCAGATTTCGTTTCTGCCAAATTTCACTACACTTGTTTAGTTAAGCGCATCTTTTTTTGAATATTTTGGGTTCATTTTCGCATATATCTTACTTTTCAATGTTGATTCGATGAAAAATAATGCTGACATTAACCAAATGCTAGTTAGGGCGATTTACGGTAGTGCATAAGGAAACTGTATATCTCCTTGGAGAGCGATGTTACGCAAGACAAAAAGAACCCATTAGGGAGGCATTACGCTTGAGACACGTGAAACTGTCTATCTCCTTGAAGAGCGATGTTACGCAAGACTAAGAGAACTTACTAGGGAGGCATTTCGTTTGAGAGACGTGAGAATGTTTCACAAGCCACATAATACGATGTGAACTGATTATCCGTCGTAGCGATGCTAGATTGTTTACCAAAAAACCTGCCGAGGAAACTTTG